AGCACAAAGAGCCAACGTGTATCCTAAATTTTCATGAAATAATTTTATAATGAGATTTAAAACAAGAACAGTTCACCTTCTTTATCCAAAGGCGGATTAAATTAGAAATTAAATTGTGTCCAAAAGACAAGCCTTAATTCGGCTAATACGCCAGCTGCACCCTTTCCTGGAAGTAAGGGACCTTGAAACTGTGGTGCATGTGTTGGTAACCTCTTTTCTTGATTTCTGTAGTGCGCTCTACATGGGGCTACCCTCGTGCTTGGTCCGGAAACTTCAATTAGTTCAGAACATGGCAGCCAGACTGGTCTCGGGTACATCAAGAAGAGACCACATAACACCTGTATTAAAGTCTCTTCACTGGCTGCTTATTAGTTTCCAGGTCCAGTATAAGGTGTTGGTTATCACCTTTAAAGCCCTAAATGGCTTGCATCCAACTTATCTTCGGGACCACCTCCCATACAACCCACCCTGCGCACTTCGGTCCTCGGGGAGGAATTTGCTGCAGCCGATAAAAACGAGGCTGTCAGCAACCTCCCAAAGTGTCAAATCTGAGAAGATTCAGAACTCTGTGTAGCCAGTAAACCAGCCAATTGATTAAATTAGGAGTTTATTGGGAATCACAAAGTCAGTAATCCACCAGACAATGTTGAAGCCAGAACTGCCCCTGCTTTCTTCAAACACCAAGTTAAAACCTCCTAGACTGATGGGCTCCACCCTTCCTCCTACTATTCCCACAGCTCTCATTCCTCCCACCAATCACCCCCCTTCCTATCTTCTTTCTTTTGCACCAACTATCCCTTTCCCAGCCACCACTCTCACCCAGCAGTACCATCCTCCTCCCATTGGCCTGGCATTCCAAATAACCTACTTTCTCAAAACATTTGCCTATGTTGCCTACTTCCCTCCCCCCAACACTAGCAGCCTTCTATTCTAAAAGCCAACTACTAACCCAACTATCATCGCCACCAAACCACTAAACCTACAATATCCTCAACAGCTATCTGGCAGAACTTATGCACGCAGGCATAGTTCTAAGACAGAGAGCCTTCTCTGCAACTGCTCCCAGATTATGGAACAACCTGCCAGATGAGATCCATCAGATTATGACCTTAAGCAGCTTTAAAAAAGTTGTCAAGACAGATCTCTTCTGGCAGGCCTTTCCTGACTAGATTCCCGGCCTCAGGAGTTAGCCCATCTCCTCTTCTCCAACTTCTGCTTCAGTCACTGCTATTATTTGTTATTGTTGCTCTGGCAAGATTTTTTAAAAATGTTTTAATGTATAATTAATATCTTTTTAAGGGGCAGGTGGGTTTAGGGATTTTGGTCTTGTTTACATTGTGCTGTAATCTATCTGTATGGAATTTTACCATGGGAAATAAAGATTTTGAAACAACAAATATCACACACATGGACAGAAGAGATTGAACAAAATATTAAATCATTAAAACAAAAACATTTTCAATTTGCTAATAGACCTGGAAGATGGCTAACCCATAGACTTAGAAAAGAAAAAGAGAAGAAATTATTATAAAAATAAAACAAGGGAAGAATATACTGACAGACCAAAAAGAAATAAAAAAGATCTCCAAAGATTATTACAGAAATCTTTTCAAAGGTAAAAAGATTGAGAAAAAACAAATAAGAGATTACATAGAAAACACAAAGATTCAGTGTTTAAATGATAATCAAAAAGAAATGCTGAATCAACCAATTACAACATTAGAAATAAAAGAAGCTATAAAAGCGGCAAAAAAGGTAAATTGCCTAGACCAGATGGGTTCACGTCTTTATATTACAAAGAATTTCAAGATATTTTAATAGAACCTTTGAGAGAAGCAATGAATGCCATTCAGGAGGAGAAGTTGATGCACACTTGGGAGGAGGCAAACATCATCCTTATACCTAAAGAAGATTGAGATCATCTGAATCCAGAAAATTACAGACCCATATCTCTATTAAATGTGGATTATAAACGTTTGCCGCAATCTTAGCTAACAGAATTAAGAATATACTAAACATATGGATTCATGAAGATCAACGTGGGGTTTTGCCAAAAAGACAGCTAAAGGATACTATAGGACGCATTTTAAATTTAATAGAATAACATGAAATTCATAATGAGAAAAAACTTGTGAAAAATTAGATTGAAGAAGTAAAAAAAAGCAGAGAGCTGAAAGGAAAACAAAGATATTGGAAAGGGAAAATTCCTATATCGATACATGGACTTAGAAGGGAAAAGAGTGAAAGAGACAAATTACTAACAGAGGAAAGTGAGACAATTGATAAAATTCTCTAAATGATAAAACATACCTGCTTTAAAGATCAGATGGGAATGGAACACTGAAGAAACAGGGAGTCTTTCAGCTAGATTAAAGGATTGCTAATAAGGAAACCTGACAACAATTTGATATGTTTTCTGTTTGATTGTATGTAATTGTTTGTTTGTTATATATGTTATATGTACTGATATGTTATGTTACATTTTGTATATTTGGAAATTTAATTTAAAAATTGGCAAAAGATGAAAGCTAAAGGGTTAGGATTTCAGCATTTTAAAAGAAAAAAAGAACCTCTAGAAAAAGGATTTGTGGCATAAAAAGAAACAAAACAGTATACGTGTGTTTGGAAACATTCCGGGCACAGCAATAAGAAAGGACACAGGGAACTACAAAATGCATGGCTGGCTGTATGATACTTATAGGAAGCCTAGCTTCCTAGTTCCTGTGGGTCAGAGGTGTGCATCTGTGGCTCTTCAGGAGTTTTTCAACTCTGATTCCAGTAATCCTTTACTATTGGCTATTCTGGATTGGCTTCATTAAAGCTGTAAGCCATTTAAAAAACAAAACAAAACTGTAAAGCAAAAATATTTGGAGGGCTGCATTTGCCCACTCCTGCTTTGGGTGGAGATTAGATCAGGTGCATAGCTACAGTCTCTGAAGAAGACTGAGAAGGAACATACACAGTTTACAGATGGCATCTTTACACCAACCTGACCTGACCGTGAGTTCTAGTCTTTACAACATGTACCGGTATTTTTTGGCATTGGGGTCATTGCTAAGTCTGAGCAAGCCCATTAGCAAGGAGGGGAATGTAGTAGTGTGATATATGGGCATGCTGTGTCTCAGCACAAAACATGTCCTTTAGGAGATGGGTGGGAATTTCAGGCTGCATGTTGCATGTGGCCTTTGGGAGGACACCCCAGAAGCCAGCATTTTTTTTTAAAGTTTCTGTCCTGCTTAGATGTACCCTTGACTCAGATCTGTGGCTTGGATTCCCATATTTTGACAATGGCCCAAGAGTGCTTTTAACAGAGGGTGGGGTATAAATAATTTATTATTATTATTATTATTATTATTATTATTATTATTATTATTACCAATTGAACTCATACCTGGAGATGTTAGATGTGACTGGTGATAATATGCCTTGATTACATCCCATTTGGATTAATGTAACACACGTTTTGCAGGGCTACCTTTGGGAACTGTTCAGGAATTGGAGCAGGTCCAAATTGTTGTGGCTATAAGTAAGTAAATAAATATTCTTTATTAACCCTCCCTACAATACACAGATAGTGGCAATGATGGCTGGGGGGATTTTGATAACTGTAGTCCAGAAAAATTAGCCTCCAACCTCTAGTCTGTACTCCATCTGTGCTTAAGGCTATATTTACAATTCAGTTACCATATATACATGTTTATAAATTGACCTCAGATATAAGTCAAAGGCAGCCTTTGAGGAGAAAATTATGGATTTTGGTATGATTTGTGGATAAATTGAGGGTAAAACGTAGGGGCTGCTACCATTCTCCCCTCTCAGACATTCAAAAAGGCCATACACCACACTACCCAAAGAAGGAGATGGATTACTATTTTTGGTAAGAGTTAGGGTGCAGGGTTTGTATACACAACTCAGCAGTGGTGAAAGTTGTAATTACCTTGTAGTGAATATCACAAAGGCATTCTATACATGTTCAGAGGCACTCTTTCCTTCACATTATGTTCAACAAATTGTACAGAGTGGGAGCTCTTATGTAACATGGTTTCTCAGAAAAGAAATTGTAATTGTAGTATTGAGAATTCCTGGAGAACGGGAGAAATCTCAGCAGACTGGAGGAGGGAAATATTGTCCTCATCTTCCCCCCACACCCTAAAAATGGAAAAGGGGTTTATTTTTAACTTGGAGAGAAGTGACTAGTGGGGTGCCACAAAGTTCTGTTCTGGGCCCAGTGCTATTCAAAATGTGTGTTTTTCTGAGTAACTCACTGTGTGTGTTTGTGTGTATGTTTGCCTGTTTTCAAAAGTATATTACAAGGCAGTTAAATGACTGACTGACTGACTAGGAAAGGATGTCCCATTGCTTCAGAATGCCTAGCAAGGTGCACGCTTGCCCTGCAAGGCTCCTCTACCTCCGGACTTTCTCCTGAGGAAAAGGCCAGGTGGTGGTGGAGGAGGAGGTGGACGGGCGAACACCCACCCTGCAAGGCTCCTCCGCTGCTTGGCTTTCTCCCGAGGGGAAGTCTGGATGGAAGAGGAGAAAGACAGCAAGGCTGCTCTGTTGCTCAGGTTTCTCCTGAGAGGGCTGAGCAGAGGAGGATGGAATTAATTAATTATAATTATTTTTAATAATTACTATTAATTTATATTATTATTTAATTAACGTTTCATTAAAATCTATCTGCGGCCTGAAGAAGCTTAGCCTATTTTAATTTTGGCCCCCATCTGCCAAGTTCTGCAGGCCTGCCTTGCAGTATTTTCATGTAACCTGTTAACATCCCCATCCCTGAACTACCTATCCTTGTCCTTTTCCCTCTGTTGTATTTTCTCTTCTGTCACAATAGCCAGTCCCACTCACTCCTATTGCAATCCTGTTGTCCCCCCCCCCCATCTGACCACTCCCTCATAAAGATTGTTTTGAATTGTAGAGGGGGTCCTTATGGGTTCCTATTAAATAAAACACTCTTCCAACCACATTTGTAGTAGACTTTTGTTGTTGCTGTGTAACTTCAAGTCATTTCTGGCTTATGGTGACACTAAGGCTTTCATGAGGTTTTCTTAGCAAGATTCGTTCAGAGACAGCTTGCCTTTGTTTTTCTCAGAGGCTGAGAGAGCGTGTCTTGCCCCTTATCACCCAGTTGGTTTTCATGGCCAAGTAAGGATTCAAATCCTGTTCTCTAAAATCCTAGTCCAACATTCAAACCACTACACCAACCTGGCTCTCTTTAGCAGACAATACATACTTTATATTACAGTAACACTTCACATGCTTGATGTCCTCCTTGATTAAACCAAAAGATGTCTTCTAAATTATACATGACAAATGGAGAAAGTTTAACTCCAGAAAAAGTCATGGAGGTGGATGAGATAATCCCTGACAAACTGCTGAAATTTCCTTGCAAACCTTGCAAACCTTGCAAACACTTGCAAACCTTGCAAACCTTGCAAACACTTAGAAAGGAGCCATTTCTAACCTTTTGTAGTATATCCCCTTTCTTGATTGCTCCTTTCAGCCACTTTTCTTCTGAAACCTTTAAAACACTTACTGGTTTTGTATTTAGGAGCCCTAGGGCTCATTCCTACTATGATTTACATTGATTTGCTGATTGCTTTAAAATGTGCCTCGTTCCCATTTGAATCGGTTTCAGATGTGACTGTGATTGTTTGGACTTGCTTTGCCGTGAGAGAAATGCAAACAAAAAATGCTCTTTTCAGACACTAGTTTTTTGCCGGTCCTTTTCAAAAGCAAGCATGTTCAGCAACTGGGAACAATGGACCTGAGTTGCATCAAACTGAAAGGAAGGGATTACTGTGGCAGAGGGTTCACACAGGGGTGTATCCCATCCCTCACTAGCTTTTGGGGAAATCCGCCATTTGTCCCCCTCTCAGTTCTGCCTTTGTGCTTTGTGGTGTGACGTATGGGTGAATGATAGATAGATAGATAGATAGATAGATAGATAGATAGATAGATAGATAGATATAATGCGCCCATAGATCACACAAAGCAAATATATATATGACACTATATGCACTTTGTCGTATTTGCAGTTACTCGCAATTACTTAAGGGTGGTGGCGAGCTGGGCGAGTGGACCAACTGCAGCTCAGCGAGACAAGTAAGTGCAAAAACAATGGAGTGCATATACTGTCAATTTTTAAAAAAAATTTCATGTATCCTGGGGGAGAGTCCTCCATGACACCCATGGTTGCATTCATCCCAGGGGAGATTCCTCCATGACACCCATGGATGCATGCATCCCAGGGGAGAGTCCTCTATGACACCCATGGTTGCATGCAACCCAGGGGGGAATTCTGGCCATGGCACCCATGACTCCCTCCCGTTTTTTTTTTTTTTTAGTGTGTTGCTGGTTCCATTACTGATGATGTATAGATGATTGACAGGCATTTTGAAGGGACACAAACTAGTGGTAATGATAATCATGCCAAAAAAGTAGCGAATAAAGAAAAAAACCTGCTTCCATTGTGGGAATGACCCATTGACTGGAATCGATTCACCAACACAGAGCGAAAGTGAATCACGAACCGGTTTAAATGTAAGTGGGAATGCAATCAGCATTTAAAGCGATCAGCAACTGTAATGTGGTAGCATGGCATAGTGGTTTGAGCACTGGATTATAATTAGTCTAGGATTCTGTTCCCAGAGCAGTCTTGAAACCCATTAGGTGACCTTTGATAAGTCACATGCTATCAACCTTGAGGGAATGCAATGGCAAACCTCGAACAAATCTTGCCCAAAAAACCCCTTAGGTTTCCGTAACTTAGAAACAACTTGAAGGCATACAACAGCAACAGCAACAGCAACATGTGGCTGCAACACCAAACAAGCAAGTGGTGGGTTCTCTTGGTTCAGCTTTGTATTTGTGTGACTGATATTGCCAATGAACTATGGAATGGATGACTTTCATCATAGTTGTAAAACAATAATAGTGACAGAGACATATTGCTTTACAGAATGTTTAGAACATCAAGCTTGTAAATTGTCTCTGTACTTATTTCAGCATAATATCTTGAGACTTTTCATGCTAAAGAATTATAGCACTATATTTCCACTTTACCATTTTTCCATCCTGTGGAAATGTAGGCTTTGTAGTTTTGTCAGGCACTGGAGCTGTCTGGCTGAGAGTTCTAAACATCTCTCCCTAAACTACAAATCCTAGGATTGCATAGGATGTTGCCATGGCAATTGAGGTGAAATCATAGTGCTATAATTGTGTACTGGGAAAAGGCCTCTTGTCTCTCTATCAATATAATGTCTTTCCTTCACCTCTTTCCTCTTTCCCATCTCCCAGCTATTGGAGTCTGACATCCTCCCTATCTGATCATCTCATCCCGTTCTATCTGCTCCCTTTATCTCATCCTTATCTCTGTCTATCCCCTTTCTCATCTGACCCTATCTATCTCATTCCCCCTCTTCTTGATTTCTCTGCCCGCTTTCCTTAGCTGACCCTGTCTCACAGCTAAACAGCCAAGCTTCTCTTTTTCATATTCTTTCCCACACCTACTTTCACAGCATTCTGAGTGCTGTGATTCTCTAAACATACTTGTCAAGCTTCTATCCTGCTCCTCTTCACACCTTTAATCTTAAAATTAGCATGACCGATCCTCAAATCCTACTTCTCATAATGATGTCAAATGTCAAAATCAATCTACGGAGACATTTTTTTGGATATAAGCCATGGAACTCAATTCTCCTTGGATTTCTGATTATTTATTTATTTATTTCATTTATATGCCCCCTTTCTACCAGAAAAGGACTCCAGGCAAATGTATCAATTCATTATATCTTTAACATAGGACCATGACTACAGCCTGCTAATATGTTAATATAATACATGGCTATATATATATATATATATATATATATATATATATATATATATAAAACCTATTATGGGATTTTCTGGGGCTGAGTGTGTGATTCCAATCCTGGTTTCCAAAGTGATAGTCTGGTACTTAAACTACTAGGCCACACTGGCTCAATACATGTTTACTCAAATGTTCCACTGAGTTCATTGGGTTTTAATTCCAGGAATTTGGAATTAATTAAAATGAATTATATTTAAATAGCTTCATATATTAAGTATGAACTGTGCATATCAGCCTCAGAGGATGGCAATGACAAACCTCCTCTGAACAGAAGTCACCAAGAAAACCCTGTGATAGCGTTGCCATAAGTTGGAAATGACTTGACGTCATGCAACACATAATATTATAGATAAGAAATTTTACCTGTTCCTTATATACCATATCGTGAATAGTAAATCAGCCATACAGATTCTTGAATCCTTAAAATGGATAATTTGCTACAAAGGAGTTAGTATTTTGTTTTGTGCATGATTTTGCTTGTGTGGGAGATCAGTTCTATGATCCTATAGTTGCTGCAGTATCTTGTGTCTCCCTTTTTATAGGTGGGGATGTATATTGATTGCTTCCAATCTGTTGGCCATTGTTTTGTTTTCCATATCTGTTGACATATGTTGGTTAGCACTAGAGTTGACACTGCAGCAGTTCAGTTGGAATATCATCTGTTCCTGGTGATTTGCTTTTTGCTATTTCTCTTATTGTAATTTCCATCTCGCTTTTCAAAATCATATGGCTCTTCGTTCCATGTGTCCTTTCATTTTGCCATCTTTTTTGTATAATTCTTCTCTGGGTTGCATCCAACATCTTTTTATTCCTTCCTGGTCTTGAATTATGTTATTTTTATTGTCATAGAGCATCCCAGTCCTTGGTTTGAATTTCCCTTTGATTTCCCTTTATCTGCTAAGAAATGCACTCTCATTTCTTGAGGAACTATATATTTCTAAACAGGCATCTGTGACAGCAATATATGGGGATTGGTGTATATCTGTAGTAGCATGTGTTATAAGCATAATGGAAATTCTGTCTGTTTAGCATAGCCTATTTGAGTGCAGAGATTCTCTCTTGCAAGCATGGCCTGTCTTTAGCAAAATGGTCCAGGCAGTTATCAACTAGAAACAGAACACTTTTTTATCCAACAGCTGTCTTTGTATGGTGGAGGCTGATACTTGGGACATTTCTCTTCCATCTCTTCTTGGCATGTTTTATACTTTCCCTGTCCAATCAGCTGATAGAGCTCATCCAATGAGATTAGAGACAGTTACTATATCCTGTTTATATAAATATCATCCTCTCCTCCAGTCAGGTTCTTAGAGGTGATATAATACACTGGGTACTCTTAGCTCTTGGCTGCGTTTCATCAGATTACATCAGCTATCCGATTGCATTAATAATCATCCTGTTTAATACACCACCTGTCTTGGGTTTATTATAAGTCGGTTTACCATTCTTGCACTAGCTTATCTTTGTTGATAGTTAAGTTGGACACATTCCCGCAACTAGGCTCTTAGTGACACACACTCCACTATACATAGGGCTTTCTATTTTCTCTTTTATGCTTTATAAACACACTATTTTTAGATCTGGGTTATTCACAACTGTAACCCAAATCAGCATCACTGAGCTTTTAATGACTTTAGAATTGACTACAGTTGGTCCTCTGTATCCATGGATTCTTTATCCATGGATTCAAGCATACTCACCTTGATAGTATTTAAAAAATATAAATTCCCAAAAGCAAACCTTAATTTTTACCATTTTATGTAAGGCATGTCATTTTACTTTGCCATCATATTTAATGGGACTTGAGCCTCCATGGATTTTGGTATCCACAGGGGGTCTTTGGACCAAACCCCACCAGATACCAAGAGCCCACTGCACTTATGTGGCTCAGGTGCTCATTTATACTGTGGTTCTCATTCTTACTGAGGTTCTATATACTTTGCGGTCTCAGTTATTTGCTAACAGGATTTTTTTCTTCTATAATGATATCAAGAACATGCATTGTGGTGAAAGCGACAAGACTATGGATTGATGGACTATTGAACAAAACATGCAAAGAATATAGGCAGTCTCAAGTAGAGATCAGCCCTTAATACCATGGCTTCGGGAAATTTAGAGCTTTTTAGAGCATTTAGAGCTTTAAGTAACACCTTGAATTGCGTAATTTAAAAAGAGAAAGTGGAGTAATAGGATGAGAAACTGGATAGAAATTAATTTGACTACAGAAATCCATTTGTCTTTCTCCTGTAGAATTTAATGGTTCCTGCTGATTATGATGTTGCAGATTTTAAACATCTAGTAGGGACAAACTTTGTTTCTGATACTGATGCCACCAGT